GCCCTTGCCCCTGTTTGCTCTCCAACATAAATAAGTAAATCTTAAAACAAACAAACAAACAAAAAAACACCTTCTTCCAACTACATTGGAAATGACAAGGGCAACAAAAACTGTCAATAAGGAATGAATTCTGTGTTTATCCTATAAATTTTAGGGTAACCAAATGGTCTTAAAAATTGATGAATTCCTGCGGTGCCTAAGTGGCTCAGTCACTAGGCATCTGCTTTTGGTTTGGGTCACGGTCCTGAGTTCCTGGGATCAAAACCTGCATCAGGCTCCCTGCTCAGCAGGAGGCCTGCTTCTCTCTCTCCCACTCCCCCTGCTTGTGTTCCCTCTCTCACTGTGTGTGTCTCTCTCTCCCTCAAATAAATAAATAAAATCTTAAAAAAAGGATTGATGAATTCTTGGGGAGCCTGGGTAGCTCAGTAGATTGAGCATCTGACTCTTCATTTTGGCTCAGGTCATGATCTTGGGTTCTGGGATCAAGACCTGTGTCAGACTACATGCTCAGCCCGGTGTCTGCTTGGGATTCTCTCTCCCTCTCTCTCCTTGTCCTGTACACGTGCTCGCTCTCACTCTCTATAAATAAATAAATATATAAATGAATAAATCCTTTTAAAAATTGATGAATTCTTTAAGAATAATTCCAGCTAGGGCGCCTGGGTGGCTCAGTGGGTTAAGCCGCTGCCTTCGGCTCAGGTCATGATCTCAGGGTCCTGGGATCGAGTCCCACATTGGGCTCTCTGCTCAGCAGGGAGCCTGCTTCCCTCTCTCTCTCTGCCTGCCTCTCTCTGTCTTTTTGTGTTCTCTGTTTGAAAAAAAAAAAAAAAAATTTTTAAAAAAAAAAAAAAAAAAAAGAATAATTCCAGCTAACAGGTGTTTGGGTGGCTCAGTTGGTTAAGTATTTGCCTTCGTTCACCTCAGGTCATGATCTCCAGGTCCTGGGATTGAGCCCCAAGTCAGGCTCCCTGCTCAGTGGGGAGTCTGCTTCTCCCTGTCTCCACCCATCAAGGGTGTGCTCTCTCTCAAATAAATAAATAAAATCCTTAGAAAGGAAAAAAAATAATTCCAGCTAATAAATATGGAAGGAATAACAGAATTAGAAAAATCATCGTTACACAACCTTAATGAAACAATAAATTCGCACAGCAGTTATCAATGGACCGATAAGTAAAAGACTGAGAAGCTTTACAAGGGAGGCTCTGAGCTGTTAGCACCTTGGTAGGTAGTAGGATAATACCCACCTCCCCAAAGATGTCCACATCCTAATCCTTAGAACCTGTGAATGTTGTATTACAGGGCAAAAGGGGTTTTGCAAGTGTGATTAGAGGCTGAGATAAGGAGATTATCACAGGGCGCTTACACCGGAAAGAGAGAGGCAGAGGAGAGAGGGAGGAGTGAGAAAGAGAAAAAGATTTAGAGATACTAACTACTGGCTTTCAGGATGCAGGAAGGGGTCACCAACTAAAGAATGCACGTGGTCTCTAGACACTGGAAAAGGCAAGGAAACAGATTCTCCCCTAGAGTCTTCAGAAACAACACTGCCTTGTTGACACCTTGATTTTAGGACTTCTGACCTCCAAACTATAATATGAATCTTGTTTTATGTTACTGAGTTTGTCATAATTTGTTACAGCAGCAGTAGGCTACTACTACACACGTGAACCCACTGATCAATCTTAGCACTAAGAGGCATGAAAAGTACAGTCCTCTGCCATGATACCACATACTCTCACCCAAAAGATAAACCTGAATCTAATTACATCTTTATGGCTGATTCCTTTTACAAGAAATATGGGGGAAGTGTTGAAATGATACCTGAAGGAAGTAAACAGACAAATCCACAACGCAGGACATTCTTTAAAGACAACTGACTCTAACAACACAACTGCAAGAATAAAAAAAAGGAAGGAGGGTGAGTGAATTGCTGTAAATTGAAGAGACCTGAGAGATACAACAAATTAATTTAAAAATGTATTTCTGAGACAAGTGGAGAAACCTGAATATGAATTGAGTGTACTATCAGCATTACTGTTAGTTTTGCAAGGTGTGGTTATAGCCACATTAACACTGTGATTATGTTCATTTTTTTTTTTTTAAAGATTTATTTTATTTATTTATTTGACAGACAGAGATCACAAGTCGGCGAGAGGCAGGCAGAGAGGAGGAAGCAGGCTCCTCAAAGAGCAGGGAGCCCGATGCGGGGCTCGATCCCAGGACTCTGGGATCATGACCTGAGCTGAAGGCAGCAGCTTAATCCACTGAGCCACCCAGGCGCCCCAGATTATGTTCATATTTTTAAAGAGATTCATGCTGAAGTATGCAAGATTGAAATACCATGCTATCTGGGACTCAGTTTAGAACAATTCAGCATAAAATGTGAAGGGAGAGGCAGTTTCGATGACAAAAGTGTGGCAACATCCTGATAATTACTAAATCTGGGTACTGCACTTACAATAGTGGGCTGACCATACTCTTTTCTACAAAGCTGCAAACAAACCAGGGACGCGGGGCTGGCTCAGTCAGTAGAGCATTCGACTCTTGATCTCAAGGTTGTGAGTTCAAGCCCCACGTTGGCAATGCACCCTACTTAAAAAAAAAGAAAAAAAAAAACTTGCAAACAAACCAATGCGAAAGCTAATCTGAATTAGTGATATTTAAAAAATCAGGAGCTTTCGGGGCGCCTGGGTGGCTCAGTGGGTTAAGCCTGCCTTCGGCTCAGGTCATGATCTCAGGGTCCTGGGATCGAGCCTCGAATCGGGCTCTCTGCTCAGCAGGGAGCCTGCTTCCTCCTCTCTCTCTGCCTGCCTCTCTGCCTGCTTGTGATCTGTCAAATAAATAAAATCTTTAAAAAAAAAATAGGAGCTTTCACATCAAAATATGGATTTCTGACTTCGTATGAAAAATTAAACATGCCAATAAGGCCTACATCAAGAAATTAGTTCTGGCTACTCCAAATTAACTGTTACTACTGCTCCCAGTTATCCCCCATTTATTGTTCCTGCTGCTGGTTTTAAACATGCCTGGCCAAATTCATTCATTTAGATTCACTACTGGGCATTTGGGTTTAGGACCCCAGGAGTAGTTCAATTAAGCTGGCTAGAAGCAAGAGAAGAGAGCAGACATGGGGACAGCAAATGAGTGATAGCAAAATGCTAGTGTGTAGATGTACAGATTCCTGCTACTGAGGTCTCCCCAACAACCTTGGAGACAGATGTAATTCCCATGAGGCCACAAAGCGACATTATCCTGTATAAGTGCTCACTAGTAGCAAGGCCATATTCCTGATATTCTGGAAAATATGAACATGGAAATAATTCCTTCCCCCAGGATGCTAACAGTTAAATAAGATAGATAAAGCAAAATAGCTACAATAGAAGATGGAAAGCGACAAAGTAAAGCTTCAGATACAGATCATAGGGAGTACTACAGAGCATGCTGGGAAATTTAAACTTTATCAGATGAGCAACAGTGAGCCACTGAAGGGTTTCGAATTAGAAATACAAACCAGGGGCGCCTGGGTGGCTCAGTGGGTTAAAGCCTCTGCCTTCGACTCAGGTCATGATCCCAGGGTCCTGGGATCTAGCCCCGCATCAGGCTCTCTGGTCAGCAGGGAGCCTGCTTCCCCCTTTCTCTCTGCCTGCCTCTCTGCCTACTTGTGTTCTCTGTCAAATCAATCAATCAATCAATCTTGAAGAAAAAAAGAAGAAGAAGAAGAAATACAAATCAGAGGGGCAACACTGGACATGAGAGTAATGTCTGCCTCATTGCTCAAATTCTCTTATTCTATGCACTGTATCCTTCCAGGAGCTGGCAGCAAAACGTTGTATCTAAGCCTCTAAAATTATACAATCACAGCTTTCTTGGCCAGACAGAAGTGTGGTACCTGAAGAGAATAATAAAACAAAGGGTCACTGAGTAACACCCCTAAAAATAGTTTATATCTCCCAAATAAAGTATAAATAAATTGCATTTATTATCACTACTGGGTTCCAACACCTTAAACAAAAATAATAGTCTTATTACATCTGAAGCTCTATTAAAAAGTAAAATGTTTCTTCCTATTTAAAGACCCCTTTTGTTAAACAAAACAAAACAAAACAAAACGCTTATTGCGAATAAATAAAGCACAATTAAATCTTGACTAAAATCATATTAATGTTTCAAAGATCGGGCTGGTGATCCTAATAGCAAAACAGGACCAAACTGGCATTATAATAGTAGTTATCACCATCCAAGAGTATTGCTGAAATTTACATAAAAATTGGCCAAATCCAGACTCTAGGGTACCAAGAAAAAAAGTATTAGACTGAGACCATTTTGCGATCGACTCTAATCAAACACAGGAATCACAAATAAAAAGGAGAGTGCAAGATTGCAGTACTTTTCTTTCCCCTTACTTAACTCCCAAACTAAGAATTCCAGCTCTGACATCATCTCTCTGAGCCTGTTTGCTCACGTGTAATATGAGGCCAAGGGTACCCACTTCACAGGGTAGAGTACGAACTAAATGGTATCGCGTATAAAGGGGCACAGGACCTGACACACAGCCACCACTCAATAAAATCAGGTTTTTTTTATTCACAGTAAGCTTCAGTGTCTCCACGATTTTCCTGCAGGTATTGGTCTGTCTTAAGATACCCACAAATACTCAACACCCAGAGACTTCTTTGGAGAAACAAGTCACAGTTCAAGATACTTAAGACCGAAACTCGTACAAGACCCCGACCACGACCCAAAGTCGAGGCCGCCCCAGCGCAGCTGTCACCACATCCGCCAAGGCCTCGCGGTCCTTCCAAGGGTTCCCTGGCATTGGCGCCCAGCCCCGCCCCGCGAAGGCCAACCAGCGGGGTGAGGGGGCGGTGTCGACAGTGCACCCTTCGTGCTTCGGAGAGGCCAGGCCGCGCTTGAGGCCTCCGCCCGCCGGCTACCGTCCCCATCCTCAGCCTCCCCTCGTCGACGCCTACGGTCTTCCCTCCCCGCGCAGCCCATTGCCGCACCTTGAGGTGGGTACGCAGGCCGCCAGCGCCCCCAGACTGGTCGGTGATCTCGTACGCGCCCGTCACCAGCAGGTCCTTGTGGATCTCCTCGCGGAGGCACTTGCGGGAGTTAACGGGCAGATGGAAGGAAATGGCGAATACCGAGCTGGGGCCGAGCAGGAGTAAAAGCAGCAGTGCTAACGGGCAAGGGCCACGCTGAGCTGGTGGGCCGGACAAACCCGACATGGTGCCGGAGACTGCTCACCCCCTCGGGCCTCTACCACGCCGGAACCGGGAGGGCCCACGTGATTCACCTCTGACCTAATGCCGTGGGCGCCATTTTGGAGACTGGCAAATAGACGAGGACCACAGGATAAGTCTTTTGAAAGGGAAGAAAGGATACGACACCACGTAGCATCCACAAGTTAAAGTGGTTAAGTAAGATTTTCCTGCTGTCGACTGCACAAGTTTCATTTTTGTTAAGCTTAGCGACTCCTCAGTCAGCCGTAACGAGTATGGGCAGCCCTGGAAGTAATTCTCCTTCAGCTTCCGGAAGTAGTAGCCGCGAGTTTTAAAGTCGGCGATACCATAGCAACCATGCCCCAATAGGAAACAGCCACAAGGCCTTCGTAGGGCCCACCCACCGGCCGCCTAGGCGCTCCGGGCGGAGGCGGATGTGCAGTCCAAGCACCTTGCAGCCTCGGTGACGGTTAGGACGTGGAGCACTTAAGAAGAAAAGTTTAAGAGGCTGAGCGGAAAGACACCAATTTGGCTATTAGGCCAGCGGCCAGTATCTCAGATTAGGTGTACGGGTTACGTGTTGGATGTGAGCTGGGTGGCATCCTGAATGCACTTGAACAGAGTATTTGGATTGGAGTTACGGCTTTCTGATTTAGTAAACCTTAGGTGCCTACTATGTTAGGTAACATTCAAACTAAAGTTGGATTTTGTATTTTTTTTTTTTTTAAGATTTTACTTTTAAATAATCTCTAGGTCCAAGGTGGGGCTCGAATCCACAACTCTCAGATCAAAGGTTGCATGCTCCACCCACTGAGCTAGCCAGGCTCCCCTGTATTTTGTATTTAAATTGAATAAAGCAGTGTTTTAGTTCAGCCTAAGAGATGGAGCTGGTGCGGTTTACCAGAGAAGCCCTGTCAAGTGTTTGTGTGTTTTAAATGCATAAACACCTAAGGGATCAAATAGGCCGGTCTGTAGTAAGTAAATTTACATGATAGTCACTCATGTGCTTCTTTAATATTTATTGAGTACCTACTATGTGCTGGACACAATATTATGCATAAATACTAACATGTATTAACAAATCACTATTGCTATCAAATATTCAGGGCTGAAGAAAATAGGAAGATGAAAAAGGACTACACAACAGCCTATGTTTAGAATCATCTGCTTTGATTAGTGTTCATTGAGCATCTACAGAAATACCCAAAAGATGGACTGTCTGCTTTCAGTATTTAATAACTCCTTTCAGTCCTTCCGGTTCTTCTGGAACTGAAGTCCCATAAGCAAAACAAGAACAAACATAAAGGAGCTGTAAAGCATTTTAAAATTTGACAAATGCCATATAATAATTATTTTATGAGGTGTCCAGTTACGAACTTTTAGTTTGATTATTTTATCCCTGATCTAAGATAAGATTGCTACTCTACGCAGTACATTCTGATAATTTGCATTGGCCTTTTCCCTGCCTGGCCAGGGGATCAGTACCAAGGAGTTATCTACTTCATTGTTTACTCTGTCCTTAGGCTCTGATGACCATCAGCCAAAGATTTGCATCCCATAAAATCCTGGGGGTGCGTGTGTGTGTGTGTGTCTGTGTCTGTGTGTCTGTCTGTGTGTGTTTTAATTTCTATCTTACATTTATATAATAGCTTATATGTTTTTAAATATCTTCACCTAATTATCTCACTTGACATTTTCAAACACCATAGGCTAGACAAGTCTATTCATTTTACAGAAGGGAAACTAAACTGAGGTCCTCAGAGACCAAAATCCCATTGTTTAAAAGTGGCAAAGTCAGTCTGAGGGCCCGAACCTTCTTTTCGGAAGGCACTATTATTATTATACAGATGAAGAAATTGAGACTTAGAGAAATTGATTCTAAGTAGCAGCCCACGTGTACTTTCTTGTCCTTATTCTCACGTATCCTGCCTCCACCTATTTCCTGTTCCCCTTCCCTCCTTTATATTTTTGTCCATAACACTCATCACTGTTTTATACAGTATCCATTTTATTTATTTGTTGTGTTTATTAATCTGTGTCCTTAGCTAGGTTATCTGTTTTGTGAGAGGCAGAGCTTTTTGTCTATTTTGTCCACTGCTTTATCTTCTGAATCTAAAATAGTGCCTAGTCTACAGTAAATATTGGCTCAGTAAATGCAAGATTAATTCCTTAGCTCCTAGCAAAAGGCATAACAGCAAACTCCTTCCATTATTCCTTAGTTGTTTTCATACAAATTTGTTTAATCCACAACGTATCTAAAGTGTAGGTATGATTTCAGTTTTGCCAACAAAATGGGTATTTTTTTAATTGAAAAATGTGTTACTGTTTTTGTATAAGAACACAGGGAAAAAACCCAAAACCATTCTCCCCTCTATACTGTGCACCTAGAAGGCTGAGTAGATACTCCTGGGGAGCCCAAACTTTAAACTTTGAATCTTCTGCATTGAGGAAGGCACTATTTTATACCTTTTGTGGGGGGAAAAAGAGCAAATGGAAAGTGTCTCAAAACCAGAAAAAATGCTGCTTCTTAGCCTCACAGTCTCTGCCATCCCATCATCCTGAAATGTAGCTAGCCAGACCCAGGTTCTCAAGATTCCCAAGATCCTGGAGGTGAACAGATGTCACCAGGACACATTCTTTACCTAGACTATCCCTTCCCTACAGGTTTCTCAACCTTTCATTGATATGAGAGGGAGCAGCTCCTTTTTAAAAATTGCCTTTGTAATAAAGTTGCTGGGCCATTCTGTGGTCAGAAGCCCTTGGAAGCACTTCTGCCTTCTGCCTTTTCCTTTAACCGCCTCCTTTAACTGGCCTCATGCTCTAGTGTGGCTTGAGCCCCCCCCCCACTCCAATGCAGAAGCAGTCAAGAATTCCTAACTCTGTGTCCCTGCCCACTCGTGTGTACAGCCCCGCTCACAGTGTGTATTTAAACAGCTAAAACAAGATGAGTTCTGTGCAGATACAAAAGACCCTTTTGGAGAGCAATTTGGCAATATTTGTCATGTGTCACACTCTTTGACCCAGAGAGTGATTTCAAGGAGTACTATGGGTCCTCTAATTTCTGCAGTCCCCCTGGACCTGTTCCTGGAACATTTGTGCTACACTTGGGAGTGAGCTCATCCAGCCTCATGAGTTTAAAGGCATCCATAAGCCAGCTGATAACTCCCAAATGTGGATCTCCAGCCCTGATCTCTCCTCTAAACTCCAGAGTCTGTATCAGGCTCCCTACTTGACATCTCCAAACTGGATGACTAATAGGCAACTCATACATAACTCTTAATTTCCTCCTCCCCCCCACCAAATCTGTTTCTTCCCCATCGCAGTAAATGGCACCACCTTCTACTTCTTCACTGAGGCCGTCCTTGTTTCCTCTTTCTCTTACCGTCTCCATACATACAGGCAATTCATCAGCATGTCCTACCCGTCCTGTGTCCTAAATATATGCCAATCAGTTTCTACTTCTCTCTAAGCCAAGATTTGGCAAGCTACTGCCCAGCTAGACAGGCCAAATCCAGCATGCAAACTCCTGTTCTTCTATCACCCAAGAAATTACGTGGCTCACTAAACATAGAATGTTTACTATGTGATCCTTTACTGAAAGTTTGCTTCTCTCACCTATGCGAGAAAACAGCCTCCCTACTGTTGTCTCTGCCTCTGTTCTTGCTTGCACTATGCTCCTTAATACACTTTTAATGATTTTTAAAAAATGTACATCAGATTAATCAGAATACAGCCTATCTATATACCTTATCACAGCCCCAAAGGCCACTGTGGTCTGGCTCCTTCCTACCTTTCTCATCTCGTTTTAACCAGTGATCACTCCCTCTCACCACCCAACCATTCACTCTCCTATCTATAGTCACAGGGCACCAGGGCCTTTGCACTTACTGTCTAACTGGAGTGCTCTCTCCCAGATATTGTCCCATGGACTCCAGACTCTGCAGGCTGCTCTTCATCATTCAGGTTCCAACTCCAATGTCTCTTCCTAGAGAGCCCACCCTGCATGAGTAACACTTTCCCTACGTTATTTTCTGTCCCACGATCTAGTTTTATTATCTGTATAGGACTCGTTGATATTTAAAAGTAACTTGATATTTTTTTCTTTTTTAAAAAATATTTTATTTATTTGACACACAGAGCAGAAGGCAAAGTGAGAGGGAGAAACAGGCCCCCCACTGAGCAGGGAACACAATGCGGGACTCGATCCCAGGACCCTGAGACCATGACCTGAGCTGAAGGCAGCCATTCAATGACTGAGCTACCCAGGCACCCTTGATATTTCTTTTCTTATTTATTCTCACCCAGCCCTACTAGCATTTTAGCGCTGAGAAAGCAAGGTCTTTGTTTTGTGCCTGATATATCCCTAGGCCAGGTACAATACCCTGTAACTACTGGGTACTCGATAAATATTTGGGGAATTAATCAGAATACAACATAAAGCATTTAGCACATCAACATAGAGCAGTTGCTCAATAAATGCTAGTTCCTCTATCTAGTATTTTAATTGCCATTTTTCATATGGAGAAGCTGAGGTTTAAAACTGTTAAGTGACTGGCTTCAAGCCATACAGTGAGTCAGTGTTCGAGTCGAGAATAGAAATGAAAGCTCCTAACTGCACCCCAATTTTCAGACATCGTTGTGACTACATTTGATAAAACATGGCACTTTTTATTGCATTCCCACACTATTGAGAAGATTCCTTTTTTCTATCCTCATTTATAGTCATAATATAACTTTTATGCTTAAGTGAATTTAAGTCTTCCAGAATATCTGTGATGTTGTCAATAGTTGGTGTGAACCCGGTAGCATCCATTAGCATCTCCCCTCGATTCACTTACTTGGGAAAAAAAAAAAAAGATTTATCTTCCTCTCCAGATTCCCATGGTGCTAAAGTTTCATCTTCCTAGGTGGGAAACAAGAACTGCTCACCAGCTCTCCATGAAAATTAATGTCTTTCATCACTGTTGTCCATACAACATGTCAAGATAAACTATTGGGACCCTGCTCTATATGTTACAGCCTGTAAATCCTGATTACCAGGATCAACATTCCAGTAATATATATGAGCTGAGAGCACCCAAAAGTCTGGATTTAACAACAAAAAAAATTATTAGGAAGAATTTTAGGGATGATGCAAGTAAAGGTTATAAAATGTATCCCAAAAGAACAAGTTTCAGAAAGCTTAAGAGCCATCACATGAACCATCAACACTACCCATATGCCTTGAGAGCAAACAGAAGTTGAAAAGACCAACTTTGGG